CTCTGAAGATGCCGGTCACAGATGCTGGCGAAACGTTAGGAACCAAAACTTCCAGAACACACCCACACAGCCCGGAAGACCCACATCATTGTATTCCGGCTATGAAAGCCTTCGACAATACAAGATTAAAACACCTTTCACTCATCAAAACAATGGTCTACCCTGTGCATCAATCCTGCATTAGCCACCACTATCAGTCAAATTTGTATCTCAAGGGAGAGGAAACATTGGGATAATACCTGATACGTTAGGAGACAAATACCATGGGAGCGCATGGGAGTGAAATATCTGAGTGAGAAGAATCATAGAATCATAGGGTTGGAAGGGACCTTGGAGATCTTCTAATACAACCCCCTGCCCAAGGCAGGAGTCCTCATACCATCTCAGACAAATTGTTGTCCAACCTTTTCTTGAAAACCTCCAGTGATGGAGCACCCACAACTCTGGGGGGCAAGCTGTTTCACTACTTAATAGTTCTCACTGTCAGGAAATTCCTCCTTATTTCCCTCTGACAAGCTTCCACCCCTTGCTTCTTGTCCTACCCTCAGCTGCTATGGAGAATAAATCAATGTCCTCTTCCCTGTGGCAGCCCTTCAAGTATTGGAAGACTGCTATCATGTCTCCCCTCAGCCTTCTTCAGTCTTTCTTTGTTAAGCTAAGAATACCTAGTTCCTTTAGCTGTTCTTCATAGAATTTAGCCTCCGGACCAATTATCATCTTTATTGCTCTTCTTTGCACTCTTTCTAGGGCCTCAGCATCTTTTTGTATTGTGGTGACCAGAACTGGACACAGCATTCCAAATGTGGCCTCACCAGTGTGGTGTAGAGTGGTACTATCACTTCCCTTGATCTTGATACTATCCTTCTGTTGAGGCAGCCCAGGACTCAGTTAGCTTTTTTGGCAGCTGTAGCATACTCCTGACTCATACTTAAGTGGTGGTCCACCAGGACACTACTGTTGAGCCAAGTACTGAGAAAGGACAGCAGTAAGTCCCTAACAAGGACTCCTCTCTTTCAAGAGAGGATGTTAGGCTCCAATTCAGGATACTGGACTCCCAGCTGGGAAAAATAAACAAAAAGCAGAATATGCAATAAATGTATATTTTTGGTTTTTAATATTAGAAAACTTGTAACTAACTCAAATCCTACCTTGGTGGTTGAAGCAAGAGCAACCTAAAAAGTAAAAGCAGGAGAAACATGTTAGAGATTAGGAATATTCAAATCCTAACCAAAGACCTAAGAATTATTAAGGTAGTGTCTAAGAATATAGGCAGTTCCAAGCAGGCTGAGTTTTTGTAAAGTTAGGGTGTTCAGGTAAAAAGTCCATGAGTGTTTTCCAAGTTTTTTGCACTTCTGCTTTTCTCTCTCTTTCTTCTTTCTTCTTTTCTATTCCTCTTCTTGATTTCTAGTTCTTGTTTTTATCTTTTTGTATTCAAAAATTTAAGAAAGTTATAAAACGTTAGATCCTTAGTCAAGAAAAGTATCTCAAGTACAGGAGTTGGCTGAAAGAATCATCGTCTGACATCATCTGCACTTAAAGCAATGTGTTATTGATATGCGAACTCTATAAACATTCAATTGGGACATTTTCAATTGAACTTGCATCCTTACCTCCTTAGAAATTTGACAAAGGATCAAGAATTTCCATGTTTTGGCCAAATTTGTTGGAATGCTTATTCAGGAGACAGATTCCAAGGGCATATATTTTTGCTTTTTTTTACTTTTAAACAAAAGGGTTTTTTTTCCAATGAACATGAAATAAAAGAAGAAGAAATACACCTTTCAATCAGTGACACATAAACTGCAATGTTGTTTTGATTCAAAGAGTTGTTTTGATTCAAAATATTAATGTAATTGTGCTGAACATCCCAATAAAATTCAATGTGTCAAAATAGGTTGAATAAGTAGATTTTACCAGATAATGTGACTGCTTCAATCTTACAAATAAATAATGATTAAAAACAAAAAACAAAAACATTTTAACTGATGACAGAAGCGTTAGCATCTTCTAACAGATATCTGGTTGTTGGTCAGCAGACGTTGCAGGAAATGATCCAGAATTACACTGATATAGATTGTCTTTCATGAAATTCAGAATTTTATTCCATTTCAGTTTTAGAGGAGGGAACTTACACAGTAAGAACACAAAAACCAATCCATTCAAAATACAAAGTTGCTGCTTATAAATAAAAATGCTTTAATACAACGTATTTACTTATGGCTAACTTTAACTTCTTCAATTATTCTTCTTAGCTGTTCCTTGTTGTTTAAATCAGGCCTAACCACAATAATGTAACATTTTGGAAAGAAGATAAAAGCTAGCAACCCACCACTGGAGCACAAAATGGAGAAGATCTCCACAGCCACCATATATTTCCCCTTTGTGCTCCAGTATGTTGGAACAAAGGACAGCCAAACACTGCAAAAGACCAACATGCTGAAGGTAATAAATTTGGCTTCATTAAATGTGTCAGGTAACTTCCTGGCTAAGAAAGCCACCATGAAGCTGATAATTGCCAGGAAGCCCATAAAACCAAGGACGCAGTAGAACATGATAGTTGACCCTTCATTACATATCAATGCAATTTCCCTTGTCATGGAATACATGTCAACATCTAGGAATGGGGGAGAGGTCGATAGCCATACAATACAAATACTGGTTTGAATAAAGGAACAAGAAAGAACAATAGGAATGGCCAGTCTGTTCCCTATCCATTTTCTGATTCTGGACCCTGGCTTGGTAGCCATGAAAGCTAGAACTACAATGATAGTCTTTGCCAAGATGCTCGAAACTGCCACAGAGAAGATGATGCCAAATGTTGTCTGTCGAAGAAGGCATATAATTTGATGAGGCTGACCAATAAATAGCAAAACACAAAGGAAAGAGAGTAGGAGAGAGATGAGGAGAAAGTAGGTGAGGCTTTTATTGTTAGCTTTCACAATGGGAGTATCATTATGTTTAACGAAAATCCATAACACCAAAATGGTAATGGTGGAAAAACAAACCACAAAGCTGATCAAAGTGTTCCCCAGGGTTTCTTTATAAGACAAGAAGTTTGTATTTTTCAGAAGGCAGGAATCTTGGTCCTCATTTGGATAGTGATCTTGTGCACACTGAAAGCACTCATCCAAGTCTGAAAATGAAAATAAGAACTTCCGTATATGGCCATACCGGAGTATTGTACAGAAGTATTACAAAGTCATATTACAAAACCCTGAACGACAGCTTTTATTCTGAAATTGGAAACAACAAGAACAAGAAGAAACAAACAAACAAATCTAGTAGTTCCTCATGAAATTATATGCACTGCACGGTCCAAAAATAACCCAGATTTTTTTACTCATATCAGCCATACAGATTGTTTCTCTCCTTGTACATGAAGAATTTGGAAATTGATTTCCCTTCTAAAGCTTTTTTGCCTTTGAAATCATTATATTATTGTCTTTGTCTATTATTTTTCTTTTAAATCTTCTCAGCAATGTAAGTGAATAGATATTCTGATATATTTAAGCTTGCGAGATCATAATATTTTGAGAAGTCAAGAGGAATGGAGAACTTAATCAAAAAGTGATTGTAGTCTAAGTAGTTTCAAAATAATTACTTTGGTAGAGGAATTTGAAATGATCAAATTCCTTAAGTCCGCATACAAGTCATATAATATTACTACATAATGAAGTTAAGCTGTAATTCATTTTAAACTGCATTCTGGATAGTTTTACTAATCTTTTGGAAATGATTTTAAATAGTTTTGAATATTATTTTTATTAATCATAATTTTATTTTTCAGATTGCCCACTGCCCATGCAGTTCTGGGTCAAAAACATTAGAAGACAAAATAATATATCAGAAAAGCATACCACACAAGGGACAAATGCCTCTGAATACACACACTTAGAAAGGTTCACACAACCTCCTGGCCTAGTACCATTAAGCCCTCTTAAAGGCCAGCGCAGTTGGGAATCTCTGGCTGGATCTGGGGGGAGGGGTGGGTAAGTGGAATGCTGAGTAAGAATATCAGTACTGATGCTGAACTTCTTGAAAAGAAGAAAAAAGAATAAGTGTACCCTTTCATTTCATAACATTCAGTACATTTCACCATGACCCAAACTTTTCCTTTATGAGGACAATTTGTCACTATATAAAGCTTCCCAGAAACATCTCAGATCAGCAATGCACTATCTGTGGGCACATGTTCCTTCCCAATGTTGTATAATTTGCATTTTTGATATTTTGGAGCTTCATTTTGGCATATCCCTAAGGTACTACCACCAGTGATACACAGGTTGGCAAACATTATTTCACAAGCTGTCGCTTACCCTTCTGGTTGGAAATCTTCCCTTCTGGACATGGGATACAATCATAGCAGCAAAATGGCTCCCCTTCCTTCGCAGCCTTTCTATAACCTGAATTGCATTTGGCATTACAAAGAGAAAGGGGCTGTGTCTATTCATAAAAGAAACAAAATGATGTTTTCGGTTCTTCAAGCATCCACTTCAGTGATTTCTTTACATAGTCTAAAAAGTCTCTTAGATTTAGGGATCCTAAATGATCCAGACTCTGATAGGAAAAAAAATATTTCCCAATTCTATCTATGTTCATCAAAACATTTCTGAAATGTTTAACACTAAGCTGTTTTATATATACACGCACACTTAAAAATTGAAGAGTTCAAGCTTTTTGAAGACAACAATTGTTTGAACAGGTGCCATCTAACCAATATAACATATAAAACATTTTCATATGTGCCTCCATGAATTTATTGAACATTTAAGAGTTCAGTGGTCCAATGCTATGTTTGTTTTAACATACCTCAATTTCACCTATCAGTTGTATATATGAAAAAAAAAATCAATATACATAATTGCATTATTTATCATGTGGGTTAGCCCAGGAAGTTCTGATCCAAATCTTACTTCTCACTATCTTCTGCATTAAAAAAAGCATGTCTGAGATAGCTAGTGATTTTAGTCAATAACTATTTCAATACTGATAAATTAATTCCCGAATATAGTTCAAAACATGACAGGATCATACCCAGTTGAAACTGTGGGTCCAAATGATGCCTTCCTTCCAAATGGTGAACATTTCTTCTGCGCTGTTGAGTGGTTGCATTTCTCCAACTTTGATTCTAAGGAAAGATCGATTTGGGAATATTACCCAGTTGTTAACATCAAACCCGGTATTCAGTTCTCCATTTTGATTGAATGAAACTGTTTCCCCAACAGTATTATTAAAAGAGATGCTTCTCAGAAAGTTGTTCAACTAAATTGGAGGATGGGGGAGAGAGAAGACAAGAAATTGAGGGGAAAAAGAAATAATGATTTGTCAGCATATGCAGAAGCACAGTTATCTTTTCCCACTTCATTGATCTGAGTACAGAAACACTGTAATCTTTAAATTCACTGATAGGTTCTGATCTGTTTTAAGAATAATGGCAGTTGAGGGCAAAGAAACAGGAGGTGCAAAAGAATGGTACAGAAAGAGGAAGAATCAGAATGGAAAGGTAAAACACCTATAAAAATCCAGTTGGATCCATACAGATTATATCTCAATGTGTCTTCAAATAAAACCTGCAATTTTGGACTTGAAAAGTTCTGGGAGTTATATGCTTCACTTTAAATGTTGCCATTCCTGTTTACTGAAGCAGGGTGCATTGAGCTGTTGGATAAGAGCAACATCTTTGGAGTATGCCTCTTTAGTCCTCCTGTATTTTCCTGAAGACAGGTTCCAAGACACACTTGTGTAACTATATGTCTAAAAAATGTGCAGGCAGAGAACCACTAATTCCTGTGCTTCCATTTATAGTTGTGAGTCCAGAAAAGCTGCAAAAAAGGACATCCCATTGACCTAGGATGACTGTGGATGATTATCAAGTCATCAATGATGTAATTTTGGCTGATATTTTCAGCCTGTTTTTATTTCTTTGTTGTACCATACCCAGAGAAGCTACAGTTGGGAAGTGTACAAATATTACAAATAAATAAATAAATAGGCAACCAACTCTTCTTGGAAGCAAAGCAGCACGCTTCAGTGCTAACAATATGAAACACAATTCCAGGACCACAATTAGTGGGGAAGGGAATCACTTTTTCCTTGAATTTATTTATTAAATTTATATGCTGCCCATCTCTCCCCGAGGGAATAAAATGTCAGGCCCAGTCCAAGAACAACAATGAGGCAGACCAGTGCAGTATAGTTCCTTTATAAGCTTGCACCTAATAGACAGAATCTCACCAGACTAAATCTATGCTAAAGCAACTAGAGGTTATACCCCATGAGACTCTAGGGAGGGGCCAGTCCCAGCTTCTTCACCTTCCCATGGTCCTGCTGTGGGCTGAGGAAGCACTTGCTCAGGAATGCTCCCCCTCCCTCCTGAT